TTTTTTTTTTTAATTTACCTAATTTAATTTATGAAAAATATGATATTAGTAAAATTTATTATATTATAAATTTTAATTGATTATCTTACAAATTTATAATTTATTATTATTATGTTACAAGTTTGAAATTATTATGTTATACATTAGAATTGAGTATCTTATAAATTAGAACTTAAAATTTAGAAAAAAAAAAGTTATATATGTAGAATTATTATGTTATAAGTTAGAACTTAGAAATTTATTATAACTAGTACAACACCCGTGTATTACACGGGTGTTTGTTAAAAAATTATTCTTAAATTTTAAAATTAATGAGAAAACTATATTAAATTTAGTTTACTTTTTTACAAAAAAAAAATATATTACTACATATTTTAGAATGATATGTGTTATTTATGACTTACATGTGTTATATTATATTAGTTTTTATAACTTATATCATATAACTACTTAAAATATAAATAAGTTAGTTGATAAATAATTCTATTTTTCTAATTAATATTAAAAATAATTTTATTATTGTTATAAAGATAAATATAAATTATTTTTTCTATGCATACAATATGAATGTTAAATCGAAGCTCATCAAAAGAAGATTAATTTGATATATTACATATGTAAAACTGATAAAAAATGCAAAAGTTATTAACTTTTAAAATATATATACAATTCAATAGTTATAATAAGGAATGATATTAAAATGCAATTAATACATGTAACATGACCATAAATAATCAACATATTTATAGTAATCCGAACCTAATTATTTTTTGTTTGGAATTGAATTAAAATTTACCCAAGCCTAATAACGAAACATGTAATTTTGCCACATAAGATTCCAAAGCACTAGAAGCAGCCACGTAGGCTCAGCGCGTTCTGAGTTAATATATAGGGGGAATTACGTTAAAAATTAGAAATAATTATGTTCTAGATAGATTAGAATTGATTATCTTATAAATTATAATTTATTACTATTATGTTAGAAATTATAAATTTATATTATAGATTAGAATTAATTATCTTATTAATTAAAATTTATTACTATTATGTTAGAAATTAAAAATTATTATGTATTAGATAGATTAGTATTGATTATCTTATAAATTAGAACTTATAATTTAAAAAAGCATGTAAATGTAGAAATTATTATGTTATAAGTTATTGATTATCTTATAAAAGAACTTAGAATTTAGAAAAAAGCGTGTAGGTATAGAAATTATTATGTTATAAGTTTTTTTTTTTCGAAACGATAGAGAGAATATATATAACAAGCGCACAAAATTGCAAAGATACAACCCAAAGTTGAATAACACAACCCTACGCTGAGAAAACTGGGAGGACATGTCTGATAACCGCCTAGAACTCCGATGCTAGCAAACGCTAGAAACCAAAACAAGACACTCAAGACAACAACACAACAAAACACTATAAAAACTACAACTAAAAAGCTCCCCACATGAGAATAGTGATACGAGTTGGTCCCCACAGGATAATAAATTGCTCTCACTCACACAGAGGTCAACGATCCAGACTAAAGAAACGAGACATAGAACACTCAGACAAAGAATCCAGACTAAAAAATACAAAACTAACACAGACTCAAGCAACAAAAAGAAATCAAAACATAAACAAACTAGAACTACACAAGCCCTTCCTCGGGCAAAGCACTAAGAGAATGCCGACAACCCCACAACCAACCACCAACCGGACCAAACCGCACTTTAGGAAGACGAACCAGAAACTGCCTAACGCCTAACATGTGACCTGCCCCCCAAAACGCAATTCCAAGCCCAG